TCCCGCCCACGACAGCCGACGGACTGTCCCGTATTAGCATATTTATGCATATTTGGGCATCCGATGTCCCATTTAATATCAAGACTACAATCAGTGCATCACAAATCACAGATCATTATACAACTTTAGCATTTAGTGCCTGTCATGCAATACTATTTCTGGTATAGATTTTCAAACTTTTGAAACACATCCATGATTGTTTTTTGGGTTAATGTTGTTATTAATGAATTGTGCAATGGAAGAAGATGAGGCTGAGACTTTTTTGTTGAGCAAAGGTGCTGAGTTTTTTAAAAGTATAAACCTAAAAGTTATGTAATCATAAATTTTGAGATAGGAAATTAAGCTAATAATAATAATGCCCGGTGGTATAAAGACTATTTCATTATGATATAGTATCTTACTACATACTGAAAGGTACAGTATATCTTGTTTCCAGCGCGCATACTTTTAGTCTGTTATAAATACGTGAATTGCATCCCAATTCAAATATTTATTCTACAGAGACTGACATTAGTGCACAAAGAAAATTACCGGAATGTCTGACATTTTCGTGCCCTTGAGGAGAAACGTCTCTGAAGTTGATTCACTAAACAGAGTATTGTCCACTGGCAAGTCAACTATTTGTGAACACTGTTTTTTAGGAGAAACAAGGCATTCAATTAATATGAACATTTTAGGTTAGATTCAAATCAAGCAATGACAGAATAAGATGTATAAAAATGACCTGTTTTTCTCCCTCAAGATTTTCAGTGTCCACGCGATGCATGTTTTTACTGCAAAAGAGATGTGAAATGATGTGTGTAAGATTAGAAGAGAAGATCAGATATTTACTACTAAAGCCAGCAAACATAAAATCACCTGATCATGACAACCACAGTCAGAGAGATCAATCCGACAGAAACACCCACTGCAGATGCCAATGCAATCACCTTCAGTCGTCCTGAACATGCACATCACAGCATCTCAATCATAGCCATACAGTACATGCAAATTCTTCATCTGATCAACAGTAAGCGGCACCAGGAAGTAACTATATTTATGTTCCTCTCCATATTCACACACACCACTAATACTTAATACTTAGTAGTAGTGTGTGCATATTATATTTATATGATATATGAAATGTGTATGCAATAACACCAATGTTGAAGAAACAATACAATATCATATTTAAAAGAGGTAGGCGTTTGATGCTCAAACAAGCAAACAATAAACATGTTGGTGAATTGTGTAATGCACTGACCTCGAACTTTCACCGTCAGAACCGGGGAGCTGTGTGCTCCGATGCGGTTGCGGGCCTTGCAGTAGTACTGGCCGCTGGCTCCAGGGCTGACCTCAGCAATGGTGTAGCTGGGACCCGATCGAGTTTCCCAGGCGTCAGCCGCATTGATCCGGTGCCAGGTGTAGTTCTCCACCGCCGGATTGGCCTGACTGATGCAGGTCAGCGTCAACGAGCTGCCCGCTTCGATCACAGTGGAAGGCCGTGCCAACACAGAGGTGTTTTTGGGGGCATCTGAGAGTGAGAGAGAGATGGGGTGGAGTAAAAAAGTGCAGTAAATGGTTAAACTATTTGCACCACAAACCACTGAGTATATAACGGAAGCTTAACTTGCAATTCTGAGTTTTCTCACAATTTCAAGTTTATTGTTGCAATTCTGATTATTTTTTTTTGCATTGTTTATATCTCGCAATTATGACTTTTTTCTCTGAATTTTTAATTTACATCTTGCAATTCCGAACTGTGAGAAAAAAAAGTTGCAATTTTGTTTTGTTTTTTAATTCAATGGCGGAAACAGGCTTCCATAGAATTGCAAGATCTAAATTCACAATTCTGAGAAAATAAAGTAAAAATTGAGAGATATAAACTCTTTCTGACTTTTTTCTCACAATTCCAAGTTCATATCTCACAATTATGACTTTTTTTCCCCCCTCAGAATTGCCAGTTTATATCTCTGAAAATAACTGGAAATCGATGACACTGGAAGCCTCGCACATTCAAATGGCCACAAGCGCTCTTAGACTAAAAATAAGGTGGATATACAACTATAATAAGTATAAACTTACAAAGAACTGAAAGGGAAATAGTGGGCGATGTCCCCATGCTGAACACGTTCCATGCAGTACAGTAGTACTCTCCGGCATGATGGGAACGCACGCTAGGGAAGGTGAGATTTTGCACAGTGCCTTTGGTCCAGGGCTGACCGCCGTTTACTTTGTACCAGGCGTATTTCTCTATGGGAGGGTTAGCACTGCTGCTGCAGGTCAGATTGACAGCAAACCCTTCCATGATGTCTCCTTTAGGACTGATGAGGATTCTTGTGTTTTTTGGGGAGTCTGGAAACACATGTAAATATATTTTACAATACATCAAAGCATAGAATAAGTCACACCGTCATTGTTCACAAATACACGTACTGTTCAAATGTTTGGGTAAAGGTTTTGGAAAGATTGGTTTGTTTTTGAAAGAAGGCTGCATTTACTTGATCAAAAATACAGTAAAAACAGTAACACTTTGAAATATTATTACAGTTTTGTTTTTGTTTTTAATATATTTTAAAAAGTAATTTATTCCTGTGTTCAAAGCTGAATT